AAACCCAACTCTGTTTATTAAAATTAATATTTTAGAAATAGCAAAAAAACTGAACCCAAATGTTCAGGAAATGTTCAAACTATTTCCTTGCTTAAAACTTACATGTAACCAAGAGCATTGAAGTAACTAATTAAGCTTCTAGGTTAACTTTCTTTTCAAAATGTCTTATTAAAAGTAACAAAGGCTGGCTTTAAAAAATGTAGTGTTTCCTTCATAATTGTAGTTAATATTCTTTATGGTGTGAATATTTTCCTGAGTGGTAATGATCTTCCAATAATTAAATTCACTATTGTCTGAAAAGGATAGGAATGTTTAAGTAAGATAAAACGGCTGATCTTTTTGGAAGTGTTATTAAACACATTATTTTTTTATAGGATTTGGAAATAGAGTCATAGTCCCAAATAATTTAAGGGTATAGAAACATGGAAAAAACCGTTCTATTATAAGGTGATGCTTTCAGTTTTTAGCCTGACACAGACATGGGACTTTAGGATGGCATTAAACAATGCCAACCGTAACACATAAACAAGTTTCTTTCCATATAAGACATTTTAAAAGCTGCAAAATTGCCATCTCCTTGATAGATCCTTTGTAAATAATGGGATTTCTCAAAATCGTAACTCCCATTTGGCTAATATAACTGGGAGAATACAGTAACAAGACATTGTTAGTATTGTAGTCACATGGTGAATTTCCTCTAAAGCAGGACTCTTCTTTCTCCCTATCATTCACACGGAGCTGGTACTGAGAACAGAATGTGACCTGAGCTTTAGTTAAGGTGATTCACAAATGTGCTTTTTTTCTTTTTTAATTCCATGTGAAATACTAGTGCTTACAGGGCAACAGAAAAAGTAAGTTAAGAATTAACTATAAAATAGCTGTAAAATAAAGTAACAATACCTCCCTTGCCGTTCGCCTTTTTTCTCCGTGGGCTAGGACCTCTTAGGCGAAGGTGATCCTTTGGCGATCCCAAAAGGAAGAGGAGCTGTTCCAGCTACAGCTTCGTAGACACGCGCAAACGCACACTGTCTTTCCCCCTCGGCATCTTCCTCGCCGAAGGAAAACTGCGGAGGGATGGCGTTTTTGCCTCGGCGTTTCCGGCCGCTTGGGCTGGGACTTCGGCGTTGGAGAGAACCCGCAGATCTCGCCCATCCTGCGCGGCAGGTTGCACCGGCTGTGAGAGACCTCCTCGAGGCAAGGTGGGCGAGGGCAGAAGGGGGATGCGGGGCACATCAGAGGTCGCTCCTGCTCCTGCTCCTGCTCCCGCTCCCGTCTTGCCTTGCCTGTTCCGGGGAAGGGGCTGCAGCTCGCGCGGGGCGAGAGAAGTCTACGCGGACCCCCCGGCTGACCAGAAGGGCAAAGACAAAGGCCAGCGAAGCCCGCGGAGGAAGAAGCCAAATCAATATAATCAGACTGTTAGGGAAGGCGCGGAAATTTAAAAATGTTTGGACAGGAAGAGAAAGGGAAAAGAAACCGTAAAGGGGGAGGGACGCAGATGGGGACGAGGACGGGAAGGGAAGCGCGGGGGGAGCGAAGTAACGGTTTTGAAGCTGCCTCTCCCCTCCCACTCGCCGCTTGGCTCTTTGGCGCGGGCCCCGCATGGCCCCAGCCTCGGCCCGGGGCGCATCAGCGGACGGGAACCTCGGCCGATTCCCAGCAGAGAGGCGAGAAGCGCCAAGCCAAGGAAAGCGCGGAGGCCAGGAACAGCTCCGACATTTTGAGCACCTCGCCTCTGGGCCACGCTTCTTGCTCCTGGCCCTTGGGAGGGAAGGGGGGCTCCCTTCCTGCCCCCGGTTTTGTTCTGTGTCTGGCGAGATAAAGAGGTAGCCAGCTCAGGATTCACACGGATTACCAGGGCAGAATGCCAACTGCAGATTTCGGCTCCATGGGTGGTGGTGCTTGTGCTGGTGTGCCCTGGCAGCGCTTTACCTGCGGCGGAGGGCATCGGGCCGGGTTTGCCGCGGCAACCAAATTACGCCTCCCGCCTCCCCGGAGGGTGCTTGCCAGGGTCTGGCAAACACGAGCTAGGAGCAAGAATGGGTGCCCTGGGTCGCTTTCAAATCCTCCCTCTAACTTTGTACTCGAGCAGCGAGCGCGCCATTGCTAAACCTATCCGGAATATGGGCGTGCAAGGTCTAGGAGCCCGGGACCTACTTACCATCCCTACTTCTCTTCCTCCCTTCCCTCTAGTTTCTTCCAATTTGACATCTACCTCCTTCCACGCGTGTGATTTTCAGTGGCACTTACTTCTGACAAGTAAACTGCTTCAACTCTCCCGATGTTTACTTGGGAGTAGCAAGTCTCATTGAAATCAATGGCCGTAAGGTCCAAGTCCCCGAGGCCAGGTTTCCGATGGTCAAAGAAAGCTCCGTAGAAGTCAGTGGCATTTCGTTCCAGATGGAGGGCGGCAAGACAGCGCAGGACTGGCGAATGGCAGAGCAGAGCTTCCATGAAACCAGCTGTTACTGAGCCCCGTCCCCTTTTCTGTTCCCTGAGCAGTGGGCAGGGAGCGCCACTCGTCCCAGGGAGAGAAGTGGAGCCTTCTTCTAGGCAAATGGAGTCTCGGCCGGTACACCTGCTCCATAGAAGTCAATTTGACTGAAGATCTCGGTTATCTACAAATACCACTTGGGTTTATTGAGCCCGTTTTCACGCCGTTGCCGCCTAATGCCTAAGCGCTCACAAGTAGGCTTTGGAATTTTCCATCCATATTCAATCTTGACCTGCTTCAAAGATGGGACTGGGTGTGGGGGATCCAAATATCAGTGCTCTGAGATAAATTATACCTCTTTGGTTCGGACTCTGGGCGGACGCCAGGCGCTAGTGAAACAGATAATTTCAGATTGGACGCCAGTCTTAAAGTTGCCTACCTATTAACAAGTTCGAGTGAAATAATGGTGTTAACTGTCCGTCTCTAAGATCGATGTCGCTCTTTCACTATGTCGGTGCCAAGTGAAAGACAGTTAAAGAGCATTGATAGGATAAGTATATGGCTTATTGAGAAAATTTCCAGTGTGATTAGTTCCCCACTCTCTGCATTATATTTAGGGGAAATCGAATTAATGCTATTTTCTGTTAGGTTGACAATACCAAGAGTTCATGTTAGCCACATTAGCTACGGAAACCCTCCCTTTTTTAGCTTTTGAAAAAGAGAAAGCGCATTCCTGCCTCCTTTGGCCTTACACTCGGGAAACCATGCAAGTCATTTCTGAAACCACAGAGTTCAGGATGTTTCTTTTGTGTTAACAATTTGACTATCTTTTTGAGCCCATTATAAAACTCCATCACCTGCTAGGAGCTTGACTATTTATTTACTAGCTTTTTGAATATTAAGTTTTTGTTTTTAATTAAACCTCTCATGGGGATGGGAGGGGCAGGTTCACCAGAAAGAAAATGTGAGGTTTTGTTTTGTTTTACAGACAGCAAATTTCTTTAGTTGCTGGTTTGTTTTTTAATGTCTAAGCTTTTAACTCTTTAGAAAAGAGATCATTTGGAAAAGGATACGATTGGGTTAAATTCTGGCTTGTATAAACGTTAGCTGTTTTTGTTAGCAGTGGAACTCGCTGTTTTTTAACTGACCCCTCTGAAACCTCAGTTCAAGAAAGGAGAAGCTTGTACAATGCAGGAGCAACGCTGGGGATGAAGCTGCCCTGATATAATTTATGAATCCTTTCTTTTAAAAAAGAAGATTCCTATTTTTTGAGCCAAATTTTCAGGTACTGAAACTGACCAATCTAGCTGGAGTTGCCACTGCTCTTGAAAGTAACAAACTAAGACCCGAGTCAAATAAAATATCACACTTCACAGCCACAGTGCCACTGGGGCACACACCCCATCTTGTGATACACTTGATGCAAAGCATTCCTTGTGGAGACGAATAGCAATGAATTCTCTCCACTGCAGCAAACTGAAGTTTTTAATCAGAAAACTAGCAGGAGAGGAGTGAGATTATTCTAAATAATTGATAAAAAGTATAGGTGTTGTAGTTTATTCCCATGCAAAATACATCTGTTTTAATAGCCAGCTTTTCTACTCAACAGTCCTAGAGTCCCAAGTAACAGTGCAATCCTAACCATGTCTGCTCAGAACTAAGCTCCATTCACTGAGTTCAGTGCAGTTCAATCCCATGGAGATATGTAGAAAACTGCAGCCTAAAACAATCCAATTTAATTCACATTTTTGCTTCTGAAGTTCTATACTACACTGTTATCTAGAAATTTGTGGACTCTGTAAAATAGCCTTTGATCAGAAGTCCCAAGTCTTAACCACAAAAATAAATGCTTATTCTGGATTAATTCCACTGGAACAAATTTGAGTAAATGGTACTAGTCTGGCAGCTTAATCTGAGAAAAATCTAGAGTATCCCCAAAATCTGATCAAGTCACTATACATGATCTAATCTTATAAATCAATCTCTTTATCTTAAACTAGTTTGTGCAAATAGCCAAAATATCATATCCCCACACTTGTGTGACTTTGGACTTTATAAATTCATTCTTACACTTTTTTGTTATCAAATCTTATATTGAATCTTCACTATTCAAACTACCCCAAATTGAGATTTCTTCTCTGCCTCTCTGCCCAGACACATGTGGTGAATCAACTGAACCTTTGGTCCTAAACATGTTTAACTAGAAGAAAGCCAGATTTCAGCAAAACTTCCTTCAGAAAAAAAGATGTTTAGGAGACAAGGCAGGACAATAAAAATAGAAGAAAAATAACAATGAAAGCACTTTTAGTGAACGTTCCACAGACATTTTGTTAGCATATCCATCTCATCAAAAGTTTGCGATTCAAATGTCCAAAAGTCTCTCTTTTCCTCCCCCTCTTCCCCTTCTGGCACAAAAGGTCTTTCACATATACACTCCTTCATGCACTGTTTCATATTATGTTAACCTTTGTTAGGCTAGATGATATTCAGGGATGGGAAATCACAGTAAGCCTTTACAGATCTTTAAAAAGAAAGTTATCAGAAAGCACAAAAACAGGTCTTCAACAGTTTTTTCCCCATCCTCCCTTAAATGAAGGATGGGGTGAGCAGCAAGAGCAAACCAAGTTAAAAAAAGAAAAAGCATTCATAAAAGAAAAGCGAGCACCCACCCGGCTTCTTGCTCACTTTTGTGAAAAGCTGCTACTGGTGTGAGTTTTTCCCCCAGAGGGGAAAAATATCACCCCCATGTCTGCATTTGAAAAAGACGGACCCCACCTATTTGTATATTTTGATTAAGATGAAGAAAGAGAGGAAAGGAAAGGAAAGGCGACAGGTGAACAAGCAGGCACTTTGGAGTCCGGGGCAAGGGATGGGCTTCAGTCCCCACTGAGGGCGCCCTCCCTCCGCCTGCTGTTCTCCAGCAGTTTGGCAACGGCCTGTCTCTTGTAGAGCTTCGCCAGATCATAGGCGGTGGCTCCCTTCTTGTTACGATGCTCCACCCGGCTAGCCGTGCGCTCCAGGAGGAAGGCCACGACGGGCAGGTGGCCCTCTTGGGCGGCCAAGTGCAGCGGAAGGTTGCCCTCGTTGTCCTCCACGTTCACGTCCGCTTGAAACTCCAGCAAAGTCTGCAGCGTGTCGAGGAAGCCGGCGCGGGCCGCGTCGTGCAGGACAGCGAAGCCGGTGCGGTCTTTCAGATCCGGGTCGGCGCCTCGCAGCAGCAACTGCCTGGCGATCTCCGGGTTCCCCAGCTTCATCACCTGAAGGCAGAGGGCGAGGAAGAGAAAAGCGAGGCGATGGGCAGAGGCGAAATGTGCCCCTCTCCCGGGACTGGGTTCACACACGTTCCACGCGTATCCCAACACTCTGGTCGGGCCTTACCTGCAGAGCCTTCGCTTGATTTGGCTGTGGGAAACCAGTGTGAAAGTTCGTGCAGGAGCCTAGAGCCCCGGGAAAACGGGATGCCAACTTCCTCAGCATCCCAGGGCAGAGGAATATAAGGCTGGTGCATTTTACTGGAAGGCTTTTTAAGCCGGGATATTTTGGGATGGCACCAGCAGCTGCCTTTTGATAGGTATTTGGCATTTCTGGTGCCCTGCTTGGTCCTCAATGTTACTAGCTCATGGTGCTAGAGAGACCTCTCTCCCACTCCTGATTTTAAGAGCCTGCGAAAGGGATATCAACTCAAGTCTTTTCAGAGAGCTAGTGCAATGGACAAACTCTAATTGTCAAAACGGAATTGCTCTGAAACCCACCTACACCACACAGAAACAAATATTACTAAAATAAATAAGTATAATGATGGGAAAAACTATTCCCTACTGTGGTATGATAAAGATAAAATTCCAGGGACAGGGTAGGAGTAAAAGGATGCAGTTATTTGCTAAGATAATAGGTATATAATAATACTGATGGGTCTTGTCCTACTTTGATGGAAAGTAGGTCTAAAATCCAAGGGACCCATATCCCAATTGTATCAAGGATGGATGACCTAAATGACTATTTCTAATTAAAGATGTGTCCACATAAGATGTGGAAAAATAAAGTGTCTGTGTTGTACATACATACATACATACACACATATGTACATGAGAAACAGTTAATATAATCAGCTCCACTTCTTCCCTTATTTAAGCTTTCCCTCTTACAGTTGAGAACAAAATAAAAGATACCCTAAACAAAAGGGCAGACAGCAGATTTAGAATATAATGTGTTTTGCAACCCCTGATGAATCTAAAATCTCTCTTAGGGAAGGGGGTGCAAGCAAACATGGAAAACCACCAGAATGAATGAGGTAAAGGGGAAATTAGAAGAACGCCATCATTAAAAACAAAACTCTGTTGCTTCTGCACTGCAAGAAACTGAAACGTAATCCTATTATGATCACATTTTAGACTAATACTTTGATTACTCAGAGATCACATTTTAATCAATAATGGGTATGTTTCCTGTGTCCAATATCTGTGAACTAACCAATCAAATGCATTTATTTATTTTAAAAAATATCTTAGTAAATTCAGAAGGTCTTCCAAGGAAATGTGTACATAGGTTTGCAGTTTTAGTTTCATTTGGGATTGTTATGTGAATGCAAATCAATACTTCTAGGTCTATTTCTTCTCATGTTCAGTTTGAACGGAAAGTTTTTAAAGGCTGTTGGCTTCCCTAAACATCCTTTTTCTTTTCTATGTAAACATTCTGCTATTATCACTTAAAAGCATAGATTCTTAAGAATCAATGTCATTTCTATTGTTTCTGGTTAAAGAAAAAAAATGACTTGATATAGTAACTTTATAAAATTTTCTTACTTTCATAGTTAGGATTGCCCAGCTTAGAGACCCTTGGACTTTTTGCTTCCTGAATCTTTTAATCCTTGTGTCTGTTAAAAGCCACAGCCAAATCTTTAGTAATATCACACACTGAAATGTATACCTCGGTCAAGCTTTTGGTATAGGAAACAGCCAGTTTTGAAAGATGATGTGTTCCTTTGCTTTCAATATTTTTTCTTCAGTCCTGTTTTATCTACCCATTTATAAAAGAATATAGCTATATGCCTTATACATTTTTTTTCTTGCAAGGAATGCTGTCTTCGGTTTTCAGTACACAAAAGGGGAACGGTTACAGTAAACAAAACTGGAAAGAGCCGTAAAAACAAGAGGTATATTAAGGAATTATGTGAGAGAGAATATAAGACTCAGAATGTAGATCAGCAGCTACAAAGATGATAGTTTACTAGGAGATAACCTCTTCCTTTACAATACAATCATCTGCCCTCTTGTTTACCGATCTGGAATGCAAATAGTAGGAATACAGTTAACTTTTTGGAAACTAATATCATGGTCATTATGATAAAATGAACATATACTCCTTAAGCTTTTAAGATCTCACCACGTATGTCCTGTCAAAGTCATAATTTGGGGTAAATACAAAACTCAGGATCAGATTCCTAAATTGTGGAAGATAAAAGTTAGACAGTACACTATACCATCTATGAGAAAAGTCTGATTTTAGAGACAGTTTTAGATGTTTCTAAATGTTTTTTTTTTCTGATGTGGAATTGCTTTAACGAGGGAAGGGTATACATAGGGAAGAAAAGGCCTAAGCCTAGCCTTTCTTGGCCAAATTGAAAAAGGAGGCCTGCTTATAAACACCTGATCTGAAAAAGGAGAAGGGGGAGGGAAAAAAGATAAAAAAAGAGTTCAAAGAAGAGACAGAAGTAATTTAAATGAGTGAGTCCACAGAAGCCAATGTGTATTTTCACTTTCTTTGGTATAATAAAGGGTAAGCAATATTGACTATCAACTCAAGTTCTATCATCCACCCACTAGATCTTTCTGGATTACACATACTGAAAATAAGCAGTCAGCCTCTTCTGTTGTGTTTACCTTTTATTCAGAGTTGTGTGTGTGTGTGTGTGTGTATTTGTAGTTTGCCTCAAATGATGATTTACGATGAAGCTGCAATGAAAAGTAGGTGGTGGAAAAGACATGCCCTTGGCTGAGTAAGCAGAGATGTTCAGTATCTCTGTAAACCATGAGATGGGGAGGCAAGAAGGGAATCATTAATTCTGATTATACAATAAGAAAAAGAACTGGCAGCTCAGTAATGAGGTAGAAATTGAGGTGCACTTCCTATTCAACAGCACTAACTCAATGATTGGTTCCGAACATGTCCTACCTGTTATGGTGCAGAAGAACCTAAAAGAGTTCAAGGCATTTATGCCCCTTGCAAATTGGAAAATAATTTAGGATTACTGAGCTGAACTGGAAAAGAATACCATGAAAGGTCATATTACAAAAGGGTTTCTTTCCATTTTAAAGGGGGGATTGTCTTGCTGGAGTTTTCAGCCCTCACCAACAGGAACCCCTTTCCCAGTATTTGAGAAAGTGGATCCTGTCTGTAGTTTAAACAACAAATTGTTTTTCTTTAAGGAGCCTGTTCAATATTCCGCAGTACTTTCGACCAGATCCACAGACTTGCACCGGAAAATCTTCCCAAATTTTCACCTACCTTTTACTTCTCTTGCTGGCTGGGCACCTTTACCTCCCCCCCCCCCCCAACGTAACACTTTCAGCACCGTTATCCAATGTTCTCAAAGGAAAACATCTTTCAGCGGGTGCAGGGTTTTAGTAGCTGGAAGAGCTCCAGCAGCCGCCTGTAAATCTAAACACTGGAAATGGGTGTATACGACGTTATACCTACGGAAAGGAAATTCTCGCAGTGAAGCGATCCACCGATTTATCAAAAAGCACCCGAAGGATGGTGAATAACAAAGCACTGGATTTTCGTGATCCAGATCGCCACACTGCTTTACCGTACATCGCAGTTATTCAGTAGCGATAGTTTGGAAGGGGGGGGGACATGCTCGCCAGAGTGTGAGAAAAGAATGACGCCCCAACCGCCACCTTTTAGTAGCCAGACAACATCCCCTCTTCAGATATCCAAACAGATATAATCCGGATTTCAAAAATGAGGTGTTTACCGACCTGCTCTGAAACACGACCTAGCCCGGATTGTTCCTTTCCCTCCCCCTATGCCTCCGCCACTTGCTTCCCTGTCTCAGAAAATGTTTTTTTTAAAAAAGACGAGGTGTCTTGCAGACAAGGTTGATACCGAGATTAGACAAACATTATTCACCAGGTTTTACTTAAAGTACGTCACTTTAAGGAGTTGGAGCCGTGAAACTTATAAAATATGGCAACCCACTCGCTTTTTAAAAAATGCTGATTTTTTTTCCTCCCCTTTTTAAAACGGTCCTCTCCCCCGTCAAACCAGTTCACCTAGTGGTGAACGATTGCCTCTGTCCGCCCAGATACCAACCTGCAGCGCAGTTCTCCCAAATCCATTTTGTGCATTGACGTTTATATTATTTTCCAACAAATTAGTAACTTGCGCTAGGTCCCCTCTGGCAGCTGCGGACGCCAACTCATTCGCCAAAGGTTCGGCCATTCCTTAGGGCGAATGACGATCGCCAACGAGCAGAAGACCTGTGCTTGTATTTTATTATCTTATTATTGTTTTTAGCCGGGCATGGCCATCGGAAACTGACAGGAGCGGGGATGTTAATCTTCTGGAGTAGACCTTCTTGTAGTAAATACTCGTAAAAAAGCTCCTTGCCAAAAGCCCGCCCCTTGGTTCACACGTCATACATACTGCTGCAGCTCTGCTTGAAAAGCAGATCTCTGCACCTCTAACGCGCACAACACCCGCCCCCCCCCGGACCTTGGCCGGGGCGAATAAATTGATACAAGTCCTTCAGCGAGCATATCAGACACCCGGAAAAACCCGAGCCGAGTAAGGAAGGCGAGACGGAGAAAGTAAAGAACAAGGTGGAAGCAAGAGAGGTGGAGAAGAAAAGGAAGACACGACCCACCGTTCTGTCCAGCGGAGACACCCGAGACCCAGGGCAGGCTTCTTTTGAAGCCGCGGGTTCCATTCATGATTTTGAAGGCTGGGGCTTCGCTCTTGGCCAGCTGAGGTTTGAGTTCGTTCTTCGACCCCAACCAGCAGCCCTCTGGCAGCCAGCAATAGGAGTGAGGGGGTTAATCAAGTCGCGGTAGCCAGGCAATTAACCAGCGCCGGCAGATCAGCTGCCAAACTCCTCCGGGGGATGCGGTGAGACTCGGCGCTCCCATCCCGGCGCGGCGGGCGCGCGGCAGACCCAGCAGGCGCAAGGTCGGGGTTGGGGCGGACTGGCTGAGCCCGAGTGAGAGCCGGGCAGCCTGTGCACATTATCACACCCAAGCGGTCGCCGCATCCTTCGGCGCGCGGGTCGCTTCGGCGCGGCAGCGGCAGCTTCAGCTTTTGCCGCGTCCCCGTTGCCTCCTTTGGCAGCCGACTTCTGTAGCGAGAGGGGCAGCGGCGACTGTGCTCCTTTGACAGGAGCCCTGCGGCGCTATCCCAGCCGGGCTAAAAGGCGCCAAAGCAACTCTCTAACGACGCCGCCGTGGCCGTCCTCCTTTCCGCGCAGAGCGTCGGTTGCCGGCTCTGTGAGTGTCTGGAACCGCCGTCGCTTGTTCAAGCCCGTTGAAATTTTTGCGGGCTGCCGCCGAGAAAGCCGGTTCCTCCTTCTCCAGTCCACAGTCTCCCTTCCCTCCCCTCCCCAACTTCTAACCTCCTCCTCAGCTTTTTTTGAAAAGGAAAAACATTTGAGCGCTCTTTGACTTGAAACACCCGCCCACATTTTAACGGCAGAGATTTAAGGAGGCGCCACGGAGTTCCCGGCAAAAGCAGGAAGGCCTGGGCGGGAGGGCGAGTCCAAGCCAGCGCGCCTCCTCCTCGCCTCTTTTCTGCTGGGCTGACAGTCAGTTCAGGCCGCGAAGCCGCCGTTCGGGGCCAGTAGGCCTTGCCGTCCCTTTTCCCCACACCATTACCCTTCCGGGCCTGAGGAGATAAGCTGGGGCAACGCGAGCCTGTATTTGCTCTTTTAAGGACAGTCCCCCCCCCCGTTCTTTAATATTAGCCTCTTTCCAATATAGCCCGTGGCTATTGATTCCCCCTCCCCCGCTAAACCTTCCACTGCCACCTCCTGGGCGCCCTGTATAATTGTGATGTCACAGAGCTCTTCGTTCTCCCTTGATACAAAACGAGCCTAGACGAACGACACGTTTTATTACTTTCTAGTGTGTGCGCGCGTGTGAAATGTTATCTTTGTTGACGCCAGGTCTGCGGGAACTGCAGAAGAGTAAAGGAGGCGGGCCAAAAGTTAAGGCTACGTGTAGGGACCATGCCCCCTCGTGTATCAATGATCTCTTTCCGCGGAGTGGACTAGCTCGTTCATGGGAGCTTCTAGGCTTTCTTCCCTCCTCTGCCTACCTCGACCATGGGTCTATTTGCCCTCGGAGCACAACATAATATATCAGATTGGTAGAAAGGTTAGGTAGCCAAAGGAGATTTGGCTGCAGGTTTTTCTGAAGGTTTTCTCGCTCTGGGTCTCGGTTACTAAGGAGACAGCCCAGACAAGGTCATGCTGAAGGGTCAATGTCAGCTTGCTGCAACTGTAGCAAATGGAAAACCTTCTCTTCCCCTCCACCCTAATGCACTTATTTCTACTGCACCTTGGAGAAAAGGGGAATAAAGATTGTTGTGGCATCTCAAAATATTGCCAAGGCAAACATCAGGAGCATAAATACCATTGTGTGCAGGATCTAGTATTATATTCTCAAAATTTTGAAGAGTTGACCATGCAATAAAGAGTGAATGCTAGAATCTAAGAGTAAACTCTGAACAGGTTTTACACTCAGGAAGATGTGTTGTCTCAGAAAACTTAAACCATACCTAGTTTATATCATACGAATAAACCAAGAATGTAATATAACAAATTGTATAATTGGATTCATAGTTCTAAGATGCAGCATTCTTTGATTGGGTTTAATAGACCACATGAACATAGCTATTGGTTTATCAACCAGAATTGTAATGTAATATAACAAATTGTATAATTGGATTCATAGTTCTAAGATGCAGCATTCTTTGATTGGGTTTAATGGACCACATGAACATAGCTATTGGTTTATCAACCAGAATTGTGGCTTGATGTATAAAACCAGCCAGTAATGGTTTATTCAACAAACCATGGCTAAGCCAACATTGCAGTTTGTCATAAAACTATTTTTCTTATCTAGCCCATTTTTTGTTTTTGTAGATGAATGAGATG